AAATATTTATTTTAATTTATGATATTTTTTCTGTGTACATACGATTTTAAATACTGTAGTATTTCTGCATTTGATGTATTATAAATTGAGAATGATCATGTTTATATTCATAATATCGAACACATATGTACATAAAAAAGGTATTTAAATCAATATTTAAAATTTTTAATATTTTAAAAATGGTCCATAAAATTCTAAAATAAAAGAAATTTTTGAACTGAAGTTGACATTTCTCTAAAAGAATATGTGGCTTAAAAAATATAATAAAAATGCTAATATAGACAAAAATTTGATTTTCTTCTTGATCTTATATTATAAATTTTAAACCATTTTCTTTAAAAAAAATATTAATATTATCGTTAATAAGAGATATATGAGGATGTAATAGAAGTCAATTAAAGCTCCAGGGTATACCGATTAAGTAATTTTTTTTCTAGAACGGAAACAAGAAATTAAAATTTTTATGTTACACACTACATAAAAAAATTTCATTTGTCACGTTTCTGCCCAAGGGAAAAATTTACACGATTGACTTCCAATTCAAGGGAAAAAATTCAAGGGAGAAATCCACGAGAAAATACACGATAACAATTTTTGCAACATATATTGAAATAAATAAGTAAAATATTATTACAAGGCTCTAAAGAAATAAATTATATATAATAATAGAAGTTAATAAAAGCCTACTAAATGTGCGTATATATAATAAATTATTTATTATTAAATATTAACAATAACTTGAACGTTTTAACATTATGATTTTTGTTATTCCTAGTAAATATAAAATAAATTATTTTATATTTACTGATAATGACAAATTATTATGGTCGAAATATTTGAAAATAATTTATTGTACACATACACATCAAATATTAGCTCTTATTGGATTCTTTTATTATTTTAAAATAAAAATGTTTTAATGAAACAACGTTTACAATCGATAGAATTACCTTGTGAAATACATCAAAAACAAAATTAATATTTCACCACTGTAATAACCGTCAAATTAATAATATATACATATAATAGAAAATATGAATTTTTTTTAAATTTCTCCCCAAAACGAAAAGATATTTTATAAACCTCTTATTAATTGCAAATGTTTTATTAAAAAGTATTTTTACATTTAAAGATAATTTCCAAAAATTTGTATAGTGTTTTATCGCTTTTTACAATCTGAATGTAGTGATCGTGAGTAAACAAAAGTTTTTAAAGACCTACTGTCAATTATTACTTAATATTTATTTTTATAAATAAATGTCAATTTTTTCACGCGGTTTAAGTATTTATAAATTATAAGTCAAGTTCCCCTATTATGAAATAATTATTTACATACCCGCGTATTTTATGTTAATTTTATAGATTATCTTTCTTTACCTTCTTCTTATATAGATGACGCCGATACATATTTAAATGATTCTCAAAACTATGTTTAAGATGTAAATTAATGTAAAATATATAACATTGCAAGTGATCATTGTTCTATTGCATATCATGTAAACAAATTAAAAGTTAAAAGATAGAAATGATCTACTTATGGTAAAAAAAAACAAATCTATCCATGTAATGTAACAAAATAATCACCATGCAGCGTAATATCCATCCTATCTAATTTGTTTTTACGTCATATTGTTAAAAAAATACACTAAGTTTTCTTCATGTGCTCATAATATTTTTTCTATCGTTATTTTAATCTTGATAATAAAATAATAAAATTTTTATCATCTTATTAAAAGCTTTAATGTTGTCAAAGTTCAAAGATTATATAAATAATACGCCGATCCAATGTCTATTACGTTAAAAATTTTATTGGCAGCATAAAATATTTATAAAATATTTAAAATATTTATAAAAATATTTTATAAATATTCTGTATTGTCTGAGAAAAAACTTTTGAACGTAATAATGGACGTTCGGCGTATCATTTACATACTCTTTGAACTTTGAGAACATTAAATTGTTATATACATAAGAAATCTGCATGATTAATTATCTTTTTTTATCTTTAACATTGACAGAGACGTGTCAAACAACATAAAAGAAAGAAAAATAATGAGTCGATACAGCATATATTAACATATTGTTGATTGCAAAATTGTCAATGCTTGATGCATACTATATACAAATATTAGCAAAAATGTTCAATCTTATTTTTCTATAATATAAATGAAAGTTTAAATAGGCTAAAATTAAAAAATTTAGTATAATAAAATAATCAATTTTTAAAAAAGTTATAAAAAATTTTGTTACTCAATCTTGATTATATTTAAATGCATTTGAGCGCATAACAGATACAATAAAAAAAAATATAGCATTAAAATTTTTAGTTTTTTAAAAATAAAATTAGATAAAACTATTATTAGCAAATGAATTATGATCAAGTAAAAAATGAGCAAATAAAACATATTTAGAGATAAATTGTTTTGGGGAAAATATTATAAATATCACTACCCCCAAAAAAATATTCGAAAAGAGCAATGAAATGATATAATACAAAATTTATACAAAGTTTGCATAAACGTTTATACATGCATCTTAGCGTAATTTAAATAGAAACACTTTTAATATCTTCTCTATCGTCAGAAAAGATATTACTAGTATTTATATTAATTAAAATAGACATATATTGACAATAATTACTATTATTCAATTACTACTATAATTGCTATCACATTAAATGCTATTATTACATTAAAAATGCCTCCAGCGTTTATGTCAATCTTTTATAACCAGATTTTTTGCTTGTAAAACAATTATATCAATAAATAAGAAAAACACTTAATTTATTAATTCATTAACATGCATTAATTCATTAAGATTTAAAAAATACAATATATGTGAGCCTCTCAAATCATATGGTTGTAAAGAGATATATTAAATTATTATTATAAGTATCTGGCATTTTATTTTCTTACATTAACTTATATATATTATGTTAAAATAAAAGCCTAGCTCTAATTGTAAATAGCATGTCCATTTTTATTACACTTCTTTATCCTAAAATCTTGAAATTAATTATATTAGTCAGTAAAAATAATCTATTTTGAGTGCATTCCGTTTTGCACTTACAACTTGTAAGCATTGTTTATCCTTATTTAAATTTAGATAAAAGGATAAGCTGATGCTTGCAGCATATATGTGAACTTGAAAATGGAACGTATCTTATGCATCCGCCATTTTTGCAAAGTTTTAATAACACCTATGTAATATAAGACATAATTATCATCAGTTTGACCTAAGAAAAAGAAACAAATGATATTTAGGTAATTTGTCTCTAAAAAAATAGTCGAATTAATATAAATATATAAAATATTCTTTTATACAAAGAAACAAAATAATCGCAAATTATTCAGTCAAATATTTTTATATAATAGTTCAAACTTTCTAAACAACATATCAATTATCTTTATATCTTCACTTTGAAGTCTTTAAACTGGTTGCTTTGATGTAAAAACAAAAATAATTTTTTCTGCATTGATCACTTCCGTAAACTCCTTTCACTCTTAGAATTACCTGCAAAAATATGTATATACAACATATTCATGATAGTATAAGGATATAAGAATAACTAAGTAAAAACAATTAATTTATCATAAATTAGCAAAAAACTATGTTACGATCCCAAATATTTTAAAAATAATAAATTCAAAGTTCTCTCTTTGAATTTAATGTTGTACTTAAATAACATATAATACGCAAAATCACGTAAATAAGTACAAAATAAATAAATCTCACCTCTCATTATGTTACTTTTTAAATATAATAAATAAATTGCAGTACTCACTGGAACAAAGAAACGTAGAATATAATTACGTTTCGATAAGTAATACAGAAGTATGGGTTGATTACACTGTTTATAACAAAATTTTTACGTTTTTTCAAATATCATAACTAAAAGTTGGACTTTTTCTGATCAATTATTAATTTCGCGAAAACACATTATACAAAATCTTATTATTAATATTCTTATTACTAATTAATCGTATTATTAATAAATAAACACTATATGTTTTCGCTCGATTATTATATAAAAAAATGCATGTCAATTGTCTGATTATTTTATCATTTATATGTTTGATGAATATGAATATTATGCATATTTTGATTTATAAATTCGTTAATGTTAATTCGCCTAAGCTATTAAATCTTTCCACACTTTGAGTTTTGAAATGGAAATATAACAATAACTTTGAATTTTATAATAATGCAATTTGATTAACATATGCATAATAAGAATTGGAGGAATTTAATTAATACACACAAAAGTGTTATAGAACATTTTATTTGATAAATTAATAAATTTTACACAATTGTATTTAATTCTGCTTTATTTTAAAAAATGATTATTAAACTTAAAATAGAAATACACCATCTGAATTTATTGTGTATTTTAACAGTAAAATAATTTTGTTTTAATAAATAAAATTAGAATATTTTTCACTTTTTAAATAATAATTTGAATAATTAAAGACTTACAATTGCGAGGTTATATTTCAACAATAGATATTAAAATTAAAATCTAATTCTTTATTAAGTTATTATATTTATAGCCAATATATTAAAAATTGCAAAACTGGTTTTAATAGGATACATTAATAATTCTTTCAATCCCATGATGAAACATATTTAATAGTTTATTATTATTTTGTAATGAAGTGGTCGGAACGCTTACAAATTCATTGCACAATCTTCCGCGAGCAGAAAAAATTCTACATATTATATATATATATATATCATATGTATATATATATAAAATATATATATAATATATATATCATATGTAGCTAATAATGGAGATTTATCTGAATAGAACTATACACACACATATATATGTATATAATTTTATTCGGATAAATCTCCATTATATATCAGATTTGCGAAAAATACACGTGCTCTAAAAATAAAGTTTTAGAAAGTGTCTAAATAAATAACGGTACTTATAAGCTCACTTTGCAAAATGTATTATAATAACAATTACTTGTGATCAGTACAGCGTCGATCATTACGAATATTTATCATTCGTGTATATACATGCTTTCAGAAGAAAGTAGAAGAAGACATATAATCAAGGAAAAATATACTAGTAGATGTCAATATTACATGATATAGCACATAAATGCGTTATGGATTTTCGTCTGTGACACGAAAGAGATAAAGAGTATGCTGTAAGTACGAGAAACGCATGTCTCGAATTACTTGTCATAAACGAAACCATTTAAGCGTACTCGTGCGGAAGAGAAACAATCGCTGTTTAAATCCCTTCCTTTTGCGCTAAAAATTGAAAATATCTATATGTACATCATGTACTAATGTGCTATTGGTGCAGCCCCGATTTGTTGGAAATATTCCAACATAATTTATTTATCACAGTAGCACCCCGACTGACGTCTCGTCTATATCTAAATCGCATAAACGCTTGCTGAAAAATCTGTATACTCTATCCGATGATTCAACTATCAAGATCAAATGGTAACCGCTAATTGAACCGAAAATATCTCTTATCCTAATGCATATTCACAGTTACACCTACGTTGTTTCGTAAGCTAATTATATCATACGTGTCGGACGAGATGCCGGTCAGCACCCGCTTTTACTCAGATAAACCTATGACTGTGTATGTAATGTTTTTGAGCAGCCACTGTTTATGAGTGAATCGTGCGTTGCATTTACTTTTAATCTCTCATACGCGAGGATAATTATCGGCTTAATATATAATTAGGAAAAAATAATGTCTTGCTTTATTGGCTTGGTCACGTATTTCGTGGGTCATATACCAAGATAACTGCAGAGAATAAACGCGCCACATATGCATAAAACTATTAATATAATGACAAACCAGAATGGCAGTGTGTCTGAAACGTTAAAAAACAAAGTTTCTTAGTTTTAATATATCCCAAAGGCAACTATCTATTTGTACGCAATAAGATACTTACGTCTAAATGGTATACTATGTATACAAATCCTGTTGTCCACAGAGATACTGACGACCGCAGTCTCCGTATTACTGGTAATCGCGGGGCCGTCTAGTTTCGTTGGCAAGAATTCTAGACCGGTAACAAACATGCTGTGCGCTCCAGGAACATGGAGTGCCTTCCTCAAGCTGAATGCCACAAATATATCAACGCTGCCGGAGAACATCGTACCGACAGCCACGAACTTACCATCATCAGAAACTGCCAGTGCTGACAATGCTTCCTTGTAAGAAGCAGATTTGGTGATGGCTCCAGTATGGACGTCCCACAATTGTAGAAAACTAGGATTTTTCGCCGCGACGGCGTTGGAAAGTACAAATAGATCGAGCTTTGTTTTATTCTCTGCCAATTTTCTGAATCGGCATCTTTTGTACATGTACTTCACGCTATCTGGCACTGTCCAAGTGAGCTCTTTATTTCTTGTACCATTATATACGTTCCACAAGAAGGCCTTTCCATCCTTAGCGATGCTCACCAACAGATTACCATCTGGACTAAAATCTAAGTCGTCTATTTCCTTTCCGTGCGCGTCAAGATCGTATAATTTGTGCAACTGTGGGAACTTCCATAATCTAACTCTACCGTCTGTGTCACCCGTGGCCATAGTCATTCCTTGCAAGCTCACCCTGACGACTCTTTGTAAAGGCTCACCATTTCTGTAAGTGCGAAAGTTCTTATTAGAAATTAATGTAATGCTTTTCGAAATATAATAAATAGATGCATTCCAAGATACTGAACTATGAAGGTCACCTTATTGGCAAGTTTGTGGGCAGGGAATATATCAACAAGAGGTTGTATTGATGTCATCGTAAATCCAAATTTGCTAATTAAGTAACAAAGATATCCATAGCTTTCTTTCTCGATTTCTTTCCTTGCACAACTTTCATGGTGACATTAAAAAAGAATAGGGATGAAGTAACCTTCATAGTTTAGTAATATTTAGTACATTCAGTATTATAAGTGCTCACTGAGTAACTGAGTAGACCAGTAAAATGTGATTAATTTTTACCTTTAAATCCAACCAATTACATCAAATTAGTACTTAGCCGTTAATAATTAAGCAGTTATAATACTAAATACATCTAATGCAGCAAAACTGTCTTACCCAAAAGCTGTCTGCACGCTATCAGCAGGCTTGAGTACTAACTGAAGCTTCTTGCTCTTAACATTTGAATTGTCATCTTTAATTTCTTCTATCCTCTCCACTGGTGAGTGAACATCTTCAACTTTTTCACTGTTCCTTCTATGCCTAAGGCCATCTTTATTAGCTGTTGTTGCTGGCCCTTTGATCAATTCGCCATTTTCTGAAGTTACTACTTTGGGATTTACATTGTACAGTTGACAATGACTCTCTTGACCAGCAACTATCCATGTCTTCTTGCCATTGTTATGTGAAGCACAATTCATGACCACGCTGGGACCAGTCTCATGCCTGGTAACTTCTTCGGCAACAAAATGTACACCATTGTGTGACAATTCAAAAATTTCCTGTAATAACAAACTGGACTTTAAATAGTTGCATTTAAATGGTATCTTTTTTAAAATCCTAAATAAAAAAAAGAAAATTTTATGAAAAAAAAAACAGAAGCTAAATTCCAGATAGCTAAATAAAAAATAGATATTACAAAATGTCTGTTATAAATTTTTTCGGTAGAATACTAGCAGAAAGTTTATTATATATAACAGAATCTGCTAATGGAGTATAATTATATATAACAGAAATCTACCATCAAATATTAAATTTAACAGAATCTACTAGTAAAATAGAAGATAAAATTTGTGTGTACACCATTTTGCAATTATATTAAATGATTCATAATCCATTTAAATAGTCACAAACTGACAGATTCAATAGGCAATCTGTTGGCAGAGATAGGAGAAACTCACAAATCCATTAGCAATGCCAGTCTTGGAGGAGCCGCCTCCGCCGCCCACCAGAATGTGCCTGCTGGTAAGCATCTGCAGCGTATACAGAGGGAAGTTCACCCTGGCCAGGAGGCCGCCTTTATTCCTCCTGGAAGGCATGACGCGGCAGATCTCACTTAAACGGGGACACGCGGTTCACGTCAGTTCACGTGTCACCATCGCAAGACGCAGACGACACGGGCGACCCGCAGACTTTGCGCAACAAAATAGCGGAGGTACACGTATTCACTCGGAACGCGCGGTTGAGGTGGGTTCAACGCTCCATTGTAAGATCGCGCTGTGGCAGAGAGAAACTTGTGAGAGCGCGATTTTCCCGGCCTTTGGTTTTGAGTCCATTTCACCGTAATTAGTCAATTTTACTAAACAGCAAATATGATTAGTCAATTAACGGCTGATTAAGTAACTGACGTTGGTGAAATCAGTTCTTTTTCATGAAATGCTCCAATCCTGTATACCAACGTATAGAGCCGCGATCTTACCGGTTGAGAATACTGAGAAAATTCTCAATTGCGCCACTTGAGGGAATCCAAGTTCCGCAAAATGGCGAGTGCCATAGTGCGCTGTTTTCAGATTCCGAGGAGACAATTGGGTAAGTTTTAAGTATCCCCTTGTTACTGCAGCTACGCGAGTTGTCTTGAATCACAAATAAACCATTCGCGACGAAACGGCGAGCAAACATTATCCCACACGTCTTCGAAAGCAGTTTTCCGCTCATTGCAATAAGTTTATGAGGTTATGTAATTAAATAAATTTGCACACTTATATTTAAAGGTCTCCTCGGATCGAGTTTAAGCAGCCAGCAGCAGAGAACACTCGCTGATGCTGCTCCGGAAGGAAAGGTGAGGGTGTTTCTCAACAATCTCAGCACCTGCTCATGTTTAGTACCCCTCCTTCTCCTTTATTCCAAAGCTTGACGTGTCTTCTGCTTCAAGTCAGTTAAAGTGAACATGATCAATAAGGCTGCGTTGAGTAAAAAAAAGCAACTTAATAACTCTTGTAAGAGTCTTATATATGATTGGATTATATATTTAAATCCAGTAGAGAAATATAAAAGCAAGAATTAATTGTGTTCAAGAATTTTATAATATATAGTTGTAAACAGGGTTGTACTATGTATTTCAAGATTATGTTTACGTAGAATTTTCACATATTGTTTATGTTAAGTTTATGATTCTTTTCCATGTAGACAATACAAGCAATGTAAAATATAGAAATTATTATTTGACACACAATGCAAAAAAAATAATCAAGTTTTATGATTGTCAATGCATCTGACTTCAGTATTTTTTAAGAAATAAAAATATATAATATATAAGTAAGACAGAAACTCTAGTACTATCTAGTATAATGCCAAAGGATATAGGCTTTGATAATTCCTAGATTATTTACATGGATGATTGTTCTATAGTGTAAATTGTATAAACATAGATGTAGATTATTATATTTTATGTATAAACACACAATCCTGGTTCCATGCTTTTTCTGTTAAATGCAGTCATTAATGCCATATTATTAATGTTTTTTCCTTTTTTAGAAACAAGGAAGCCCTCTGGCTGATGAGGACCGCATTTTCACGAACTTGTATGGCAGACATGATTGGCGACTGAAAGGTGCCATGAGCCGTGGCGACTGGTACAAGACCAAGGAAATAATAGAAAAAGGCGCCGATTGGATCATCAATGAGGTCAAAATTTCTGGCCTAAGAGGTCGTGGTGGAGCCGGCTTTCCCTCTGGAATGAAGTGGTCCTTCATGAATAAACCATCTGATGGTCGGCCCAAATACCTGGTGGTCAATGGCGATGAGGGTGAGCCAGGGACGTGCAAGGATCGTGAAATCCTGCGTCATGATCCACATAAGCTTGTGGAGGGCTGCCTAATCGCCGGTCGCGCTATGGGAGCCTGCGCAGCTTACATCTACATACGCGGTGAATTTTACAACGAGGCATCCAACATGCAAGTTGCGATAGCCGAGGCTTACCAGGCTGGTTTAATTGGAAAGAACGCCTGCAACTCTGGCTATGATTTTGACATCTTTGTACAACGAGGAGCAGGTGCATACATCTGTGGTGAGGAGACCGCTCTTATAGAATCAATTGAGGGGAAACAGGGAAAACCGAGATTAAAACCACCATTCCCAGCTGACGTCGGTGTGTTTGGATGCCCCACGACTGTCACCAACGTCGAAACCGTAGCAGTAGCGCCTGTAAGTGTTCTGATGTATTTTTTTCTTTTATATTTTATTTTATTTTTATCTTTTTTCTTTTTTATTTTATGAGGTTAAAAAGACCATCGGCTGTGTTCCAAAATTTACTAAAAATCTATAGTGCGCATAACGTAAACTATAAATTTTCAATAAATTTTGGAACGCAGCCAAAAGAAAGGAGTAAAAATAAAAAAATGTATATTTAATTAATTTTATTAAATATACATATATTTTATTCATTTAACATTTTTTATTTGTTTGTTTATTTTAATCTTTGTATTTGTTAATACAAGGCCACTTTTTAAAATTATTTTTTCTCATTGAAAATATTTAACAGACAATCTGTCGCCGAGGTGGAGCATGGTTTGCCTCGTTTGGACGTCCACGCAATCACGGAACCAAGCTCTATAACATCTCCGGGCATGTGAACAATCCGTGTACTGTCGAAGAAGAAATGTCCATTCCTCTGAAAGAGCTGATCGAGAGGCACGCGGGAGGTGTAATCGGAGGATGGGACAATTTATTAGGTGTTATTCCCGGTGGCTCTTCGACTCCCGTCATTCCTAAGAGGTAAATAAACAGATTATTATCCAACAATTTGATTTCGTTCCAAAAGTTACAGTTAAAAATTTTAGCGTGTGCGACACTGTCTTACTGGACTTCGACGATCTCATCAGAGTACAGAGCTCATTTGGCACGGCCGCGGTAATCGTGATGAATAAACAGACTGACATAATCAAGGCTATCGCTCGTTTGATAAGTTTCTACAAGCATGAATCCTGCGGTCAGTGCACGCCTTGCCGCGAAGGTATCAGTTGGATGTACAAAATACTAAAAAGGTAAGAATTAATAATTTATCGTACATAAAAACATATTATCCAATAATATTTTGAAACTTTCATAGTACTTTTAATATAGAAGCTATGTGTTTCGCGGGTTATCTTCGTGTCTATATTCGCCAATGTTTGATAAACGTTCGTAAAACATTGCTTCTATATTATTATTTGATTTTATAATAATTTTTTTTCGTAGATTTGTCGATGGTAACGCCGAGATACACGAGATAGACATGCTGTGGGAACTTACGAAACAAATAGAATTGCACACAATATGTGCTTTAGCAGACGGCGCTGCGTGGCCTGTACAGGGTCTGATCAGGCATTTTAGACCGGAAATCGAAGCGCGCATGAACGAACAGAAACGAGCGACATCGCAAAGTTGAGATAAAACCGGAGGTTAGAGAGAATATAACATGAAGAGCTATTTAGAACAATCCCTGTAAAATTTTATATTTATTTTCAGTGTATATAAATGAATATAAATGTGGTAGTCACGATTTTTCTGTAATAATGTTCTTCGAACCCGGGCTGACATCCACCCTGGAAGTTCGACTAATAAAAGAACATAAGAGAAAAACTTGATTATACACGTGTAGATTTTAAGTATTCCTTGGAAAGATCGAACGTTAAACGAAATTAAATCGGAAGTCTCATAATGTTTAACGTTTATGAAGAAAAGTAGAATCAGCGAAGCAAAGTGCTTTGAAGCGAAAGTTCGTCTAATGATAGTCATTCACCGCTGAAAACTAGGAAGAGTAATCTATTTGGAGTGCAAAATAAAAATTGATTCAATATATGGTAGACTTTCTATTATATTAAGAAATTTAGTTCTACATATATGTGTGTGGATTGCAAACGATCCTATCTTACCTTTTCAAAAATAACACTCTTGAAGAGAAATGGCGACACGAAAATATGCAAATCTGTAAGATTTTGAAAAAAGTAAATAACATCGGAGAGAAAGGATCGTGTGTGCGAAAAAATATAAGAAAATTCGATTTATATCCTCGAATATTGGCCGAGTTTACTTAGAGCCATGTAAGACTAACATTTACCTCCTGCGTTTTCTTATGCAAATGGTATACACTCTCGGTTATGCGGTTTTCATAGGAATTACGTTACATTTTACATTGCGGGCTCTCGAAGAGCTCGTCGTGAATTATAGTAATGACATCGACGATGTATTACATACACGAAATAAATGACACGGCTATTGAATGGAATATTTCTGCCGAACATCACGGTGTTCGGAATGAAACGAGTGTCGAACTTCCTGTTCATGAATCATGCATACGATTGAAGTAACGCGAACCGTGCTACTATCTCGAAGTGAAACGTAAGACTGGGTACATTCGAAGACAAGAATATTCGCCGCAGTTTTATCGAACGATATTTTGCATTTATTCGTTCATCATACAAGAGAATTCGCTAGCACTAAATGTTCCGCCGGCTACAGTACGGATAATAATGTGACTTTAGATATACGGTACAATGTGCGTATACAATACATATATACAAAAGCACGTTCGCTCGTTCCGCATACTGATTGCGTCTGCTCTCCCTGTCTCTCGTTCTCTCGCACTCTCTTTCGTTCTCTCCCGCTCTCTCGCTCCCTTCTCTCTTTTCGCGCCACTAAGGTCGGAACTGTCTTTTTCGCGGTTTCTCGAATTATCGTTAGTTACTTAAATAATAGATTTAAGCTAGCCATTACATTCTCGGGGTAGTTCGCCGAAGGAGACGAGCTGTCCCGGTTGTGTTAGTAAGCGCACACACTGTCTTTTATGATAGGTCCGTTTGTGTTACGTTACCTCCATTCTCTTCCTATGTATACATATATTTATATTATCTATACGAAATCCACATTTCATTCCATTGCGCATCAGATATTACATTCCCCTTCATTTTCGCTTCTCCTTTATTCTTAACTCGCGGGCAGTGATGGCAGGATCGATTTATATCCCAAGTGCTCGCTCCAAATTGAAAAAATATCTAGGCACCATACTAACGACGCACATTTTCCTCGAATATTTTTAGGCACTAACATATCGCATAGTATTATATAGCATACAGCGTTAAGCCTTAAGTACTTTGAAAAAGGATAATTCTTTCAATGGTCGTATCTTGATCCCATCGAGTGTCCAGTTTTTTAAAAAGGATCTGTCAAGTAATAGCTCGCCAGCTCTAAAAGCAGTCGTTCCTAAGGCTCTCACGCTTTCGTTTCTAAACTAAAACGGGAAGCTATTCTAAAGGTATACTTAGCAAACACACAATTTCCGACCATACTAAATGTAAGTTAACAGCGTATACGCGGCAGTACGAACTTAATTTAATTTAAATCTCGTTGATACGGCATATCGTAGCATAATAATCGTAGGTCATAGCACTTGTGTCGTCGGAGATCATCCCTCGGCAAACATCCAGACACGGTCGCACGTGAATTGGCCCCGTTAGAAAAGAGATGTATGTTGGATTATGACGTTAAGAGTCAAAAAGTCGCTAATTTCATCGGAAGGCATAGTAATCTGATGCATCCGCCGCGTCTGTAACTTCGCCCATATCGTTTCTGGATCACTTCCCATCACTGCTCACGACGACTTAACGGTCTCTCGACGCTAAAATACAGGCTCTGTAGCCCGCGTCATACGCGAAGCGTGTTTTTGTTACTCGGCCGCCGCTGTCTGCTGCTCTTGTGCACACGTTTGTGCCGCGTGTTATCGCATCGAATGACGCAAAACAGGCCCCGTATGCGTGTACGAGAGCTTCTTCGACGTCGTACAGGACAAGCGCGTGTACAGCACGATCGTACTGAAATATAATAAAAAGCTCATGTTGAATAGCAGCAACAACAATAGTTGCTATCCATTTATATTTACGCAAGTGTACTAAAATCATGTGAGTATTTTATACTGAAATAATGACGTTATTACTTGCTCACTGGTGACGAAGTTATTTCAAGCTTAATAATACAAGTTTATAATCTCACTTATAATGTGAATTAACAAGACTCACGTGCCCATTTCTACCAATGCAGTTTAATTTTATTCTTTATTTAATTAACTCTTATTTTTCTAGTTCTTGAAATTAAAAAAAGAATGAAAAATAAGTTGAGTCGAGATTAAAATTGATCTACATTGGTAGAAATGGATATTAGTAAAGCATATGGTCTCGAGCTGATGTAAATAACAACTGGTTGTAGGTAAAAATTCAGTGTCCAAACTTGAATTTCATTTGTTAGAATGAAAAGGTATTCAACTACGACGTCATAATTATATCTGAGTTTTGATGTAAATGGAAACTAATTTCTGTGATGGCGTATAGATTAACGGCGAACAGGAGCAGCTTGCAAGCTGATGGAGTTTCAAGATGCACACGCTTCGCGTGTCTTTTGCAGCCTCTCGAAGACGTACGGAGACGAGAGAACGCGACGACTCGTATTAAAATAAAATTGTAGCACGTTTTGCTCTCATATTTTTCACTCTTGCTCGGATTGTACTTGTTGCGAAACACCTAGCACACAGAAAAATACTTACTGTACAAGTAATAATTATTTATGTTTCAAGTATTTCAAATATGTATATATCCGCAAATCTATCATAGTTCATCACAAGCGTCAAATTTCTTCAAAATATATTCTGAATTCTATTAAGTTTAATATTCAATCATATTTTATTAAATTAAAACAAATTCGATTTGCTTATTACGAGTGTATAAAGTCATTTCTTCGATTAGTTTTACAATATTTTTCAAAAGAAAATTAATTTTTGTTTTGAGTACATAATAATGAATATCTAAATTTATGATAAGTCTATCTTAAGATTATTATCAAGAAAATATTCTTTATTAGAGATAACATCATTACTTAAAAGGAAGTGACAACAGAGTGATATTTTTCTGTGTGTATTCTTCTCTTTGACCCGACCGCGCGGTAGGATCACGCTTATCTCGAGATATTCCGTCGACCTCGAGAAAAGGTACGTTATGCACGATATGATTGAAAGCTCGCTGGTCGTACGCTCTTTGGCATGATCATTGGCTGTCTTCCGGCAAGATCACGCTTATTGTTGGAGAACCCTGCCGCTGGACTTACGCCACCGCGCACAGATTCCCCACCTTAAATATCTGCCATAAAAATAGACGCACCTCTATCGCAGTTTCTGTACGTCAGCCCCCTACCTATGCCATTTCGGAGGATACATCTCCTTCTTCTATTCCTCCTCTTTCTCCCCGTCGTTCTGATTTCAAAGAGTCTATTCTCGAAACTGTGCGAAAGCATTTCGCGCACGTGTGAATGGAAATCGGACCACTGTCCTCAATGAGAACGTGGTTTTATCGTCGTAGGAAATAATGCCGATTACCATACGTGATGGCCACAGTTTCGAGGATCGCACTCGATATTCTACGAAGAACTTGGCGAACTTGGCGCGTTAGGAAACTGACGAGTCTACCGATGTCTACCAATGTAGATTAACTTTAATCTCGGTTCAACTTGTTCTTCATTTTTTTTTAAATTCTTAGAACTAGAAAGTTTTTTTGAAAAGTTGGTTGAACCGAAATTAAAACTGAACTACAAGTAATAGAAACCGGCATAGTAATAGAGACAGGGCCGGCGAAGTAAATTTTTCACATGTGTGGAATAGTCAACGGACGAGAGGATCTTTTTAGAGTTAAATTTAAATAAATAAATATATATATGTATATATATTCGTCCATTTCTACATCAAATGTAGCCCTTTGCCATATTTGATTGGTCGCCCAGAGGAGAAACAAGAAATATTCCGCCAAGAGCCAATAGAGCGCGCAGCATTGTTCATTAAGGTATCGTCAATAAAAATCCAATAAATTACTCGTTAAAAATTTATGCTAGATGTAGCTCAACATGTGTGAAAATTCAACACGTGCCAAATTCACATGTCTAGAGCACTCCACCACTCTATACACAGTTCGTCGGCCCTGAACAGAGATACCACATCGGAGAGTTAATAGCATTAATATACATATGTATATATTTTTCTCTTTCCCTTTCGTTTGACATTTAATCTTTCACAATAAGTATATTAGCGATACATAACTACTATTCGATAATACGAAAATCGCAGGGCTTCGTTGAAATTGTTCCAAAGCCGGAGTCGTCGAGGATAAATTTATCTCCCAGTTATAGCTGACTTCTGTCAAGCCAAAGTACTGAGGTGGATTTGATGCCAAAAGCAACACTGCTTGCCGAATATAATCGATATCGCCTGTTCACTTCCGTCCGCTCGAAGTCAATTTCAAAGTCAAATTCGAAGCCATGACGATGATTTACCGAGAACGTCTCTCGAGAACGCTGATCGAGTGCGAAACGTCATATACTACCGCTACTTCGCGCGCCGTCGTTTATTCTTAGATGATAAGACACTGCTTCTGCAAAATGCTGGAATTTTGAGAAATGGATCAAACGGTATCTCTCGTGAATCAAAATGTTCCGTAAGATTGGAGAGTAACAGTCGCGCCGAGCCGGACGACTTCTCGCGGCCATAGAAAATAGACGAGAGATCCATTGCTTTCCACGTTTCTATGTACGTCATAAATCAAGATGAATGATACGATCCATCGGAATACCATGCCACCTCCGACAGATGCATCAATCTTCTCTAACATGTTAGGGGTACCTTGCTCCAATGGCAGTGACTTTTTGACCGCTGCTGCTTATAAAAGCGGTCGAGACTATCGTGTTTTTCAAAACATATATTTGTCTCAGTCTGCTAGAGCGTTCGCGCAAATGATTTTTGTATATAATATCTACAATTTCTGCGCGTTAAATATCATTTGTATTACAATTGAACAAAAATTATTCAATAATCATATTTTTCCATATCACAATTTAAAATAAAAATAGAATTGTCTTTCATTTTTGCTACTTCGCTATGTGCGGCTGCATTTTTACTGTTAAACATTTTGATCGACAAATATCGCGGTATATAATCACAGATTGCCTATGTTTATTACAATATATCTTTCTGATAGCAAAAAAATCATATTTATTATTAATTTGAAAGCTACAACGAAGTCCTGCGACTTTTAAGATCCACATCAATCAACCAACCATGCAAGAACATTCTTACGGCTGTTACGCGGAGAGAAACGATCGTAGGAACAATCACATTGCATTACGACATCTCGGCGTAACTTTACTACGTAACGAGAGGCATGTCACTCATGAGTCAACAGTTTTTAATTAACGTTAGTAATCAAAATAGAATCAAATGCAAATTATAATGACATACATGTAATCGTATGAATAACGTATCAGTAGAATCAGTGAAAATAAAAAATGTGAGTCAACGCGAGTAGACGCGAGTCAATGCGAGTCGTAGTCTGGCGCTTCATTATTTTAAAACACACGCTTAAAATCGCTTGAAATCGATTGCAATCGTTTGTTAATGTTTATATGATTTGCTTTGACTCAAAAGAGTGACATGCCCCTCGCTGCATAACTGTACAAGGCGCTCCAGGTTTGCTCGAAGGAAACATGATTGAGAAACCCAGAAAATTGCTGCGGTGAGACAAAAATAACAATAATGATGATCTGATTTATTAACTGGCTCCCGAAATCGGGACAGCTTTGCGGTAATAGGATTGGTAACAACGGTTGTCTTTTGTCGCTATGATTAATCCGCATAATAACGTCGCGTCTCGGATCGTTTCCCGCTTAAAATCGGCCGCATGAGGGATTTGCGCGAGACTCTGCCAGAAATATATAACGAAACGAGAACGCACGTGATGGGCGAACTTGTCGCGAGAGAACGAGTGAATTTCTGCGCGTAAACGGCAACCCATCGGAATCGCTTCGCTTCACGATAACGCCAAGTTGTCGCTTACGTATCGACGACGAGTTTGCAGAAATGTAAATATCGAGCGACGTGAGATTGTTCCAGCAATCTCCATTTCTCTCTCGGACCGTAGCATCCCGGAAAGTTCGACGGCCAAGTTGTAGGGGGATGCACGTTTGTTTGCTACTGTGTGTATATGTCTGCATGTATGCGTATTCGTCTACATGTAGTTGCTTGCGTACGATGGTCAAAATCGCTCATTGGCGGATGGAAGGCACGGGGTAAGGATATCAAAAAAGGGAGTTGAGACTCGATGACGACAACAATGACTGCTCGCCAAAGAATCCGCGCGGATCGTCTTCGATCACGTCGTCCGAACTATCGATCGTCGCCGGTCCAATCGCTCGCCGCCCATGCAGGCAACGGCGTTTCGTACTCCCATCCCGGGCCGCAGTAACGCCACGCGTGCAGATACATCACCAGATCTGACGGCTTCGGGTCCCTGTATTTGACTTTGCACTCGTAGCAGTGCGGATCAACGGTGACCTTGTCGTTAGCGAAAGTGGAATCCGGCGGTTCCGAGCCTGTTTGCGTTCCCACGGTGACCTTGAGGGATTCCTGCTGCGGCTGCTGTTGCTGTTGCGGTTGCTGTTGTTGATCGTCCTCAACCAGACCCGGGGTGGATGACGGCGAGGAGCCGTTGTCCTTGTCGCTTCCGGAGCCCAGCATGCGCTCTTCCAATTCCAGCTTCGGCTTGAACAGGCTCATATCAGAATCGCCGTCCATACCGAGCCAATTCTCGGCGTTGTGAATGCTGATAAGATCCCGCACGAGCTCCTCGTCGGTCTTGCCGATATTACCGCCTTTTCCCTTGTGCGGGCCAAAGACCACGTGATTGTAGAGAGGATCGTTCACCACGGGATAGCCGAGGTACTGCAGATGCACGCGGATCTGGTGCATGCGTCCAGTCTGTGGCTTGCACAGCACTACCGACGATTTACCATTGTAGCTGAGACGCTTGAAGCGGGTGACGCAATCTTTGCCTTTCTCGGAGACCTTACAAACGCCGATCTTGTAGGAGACGACTTCGATTGGCTCCGAACAGATCACTTCCTCCTCGGGGAACTCACCCTCCACTCGGCACACATACTGTTTGTGGACCTGAAATGTGGAGATACGACATACAACATACGGAACGATTACAGTCGTCGTATATTCGTACGCCAATGTAAGCGTCTCCGTCATTTAACGATGAACGAGCGACGCCAGCTGCACGTCTATGTTTTTTTTTCTCGCATATACCAAAGACGTACGCTTATGCAACCAACCTGTCGATTTCTTATTTGGTGCTCCATCTGCCTCGCCTTCTTCGGCGTTCTACCGAATAAGAGAATGCCGCTGGTCAACCGATCCAGCCTGTGAATAGTTCTGAGATTCTTCAAGTTGTACTCCTTCGCCAGGATGAAAACCACGGTGTTGTGCCGATAACGACCGCATGGATGAACCTGCAAACAGAGATCAAATGATTTTATTTTCGTTTCTTTGTGCTCTGCTTACATCTGATACTCTTGAAGTGTGCTAAGAGAAGGTCTAATCTATAAGAATCCAAGAGTTATCTAAATACTAGAAAAGAAAAAATCGAGACAATCTATGTACCTAACTTCGTCCTACTCTAAGAGAAAAGTTTTTGTATTTGTAACTATATTATTTGTATTGTGACTATACAATTACATGTTATCATAATTATAGTATGGGTACTGCTATTATTAGTAATAATAACTAAATGAAAAGTTTATGAAATACGGAAGCGACCCTAGATGCCTCGCGAACTTATAAATTATAGTAATTGCAATTATAGTTATTATTATAATAACAATGTAGTTATTATAATTTTTACAGTAACAATAACTATAATTGCAATTGTATCACAATTTAACCGTAATTTCAGTGACTTCGCAAGCTAAGCATCTAGAATTACTCGTTCCGTATTGCACGCTAAACTTCTCATAAAGTAACCAGAATATCTTCAGGAAATGAGATGTGGACGGTAAATTTACGGAGCTTACACTACTTAATGAATGTACTCAGTGCCTATCGGCATATGGCCAATGTAAATTCGATGTAGGCACAACACACGTAACACATACACACAACGCACACATTACGTTCATACGTGTACGCATTCACGCAAGAGCGATCGACCCATTTCTCCTGGCAAATTCGGGACAAAAAGCACTCACGTTTACAAAGGAAGGTCGATTCATCGTTTTGAATCGGTATAGCACAGGAACGACGAGCTTTATGCATTCCGGCCGACAATGCGGATTTGTAGGTATACAACGACCGGCTGGCTGACTAGCTGGCGGATCGTATCGGACTCTTCCTGGCTCGATAAGTCCGCGCGTCTATCAGTACCACAGTGCACGTATGCACAATAATGCACGTCGGCTATCAAACGCCCCCAGCGACTCGGCGAACCGCTACAATAATCCGACGATCGAAGATACTTTTCTATTCGCCGCCGCAAGAATTTCACACCTCCCGTGTATTCCTCTCCGTCATAAAATAAATTTCGAGAATTTCGAGCAAGCGAACGAATCCCAAATTTTTAACAATTTTATCGTACGCGCAACCAGTTTTTCTGGTGTAAAACTTTGTTACGTAACATCCAAAAATGTATAACTAAATCTATCTTCTCCGACATTGCACTATTAAATTTATAATATCAAATTACACTCATTTTACGTTATTTTTTTTTTTATCATTTCTACTATAGATCGATACTACTTCTACTCAATAAGCGGTTCATTTATTACTAAAGTAATTGCATTAAATAATTTAACTCAAACAAATATAATAAATCGCACTAATTTTGTGCACTCAGAAAAAAATGTTTATTTAACTGAATTAATTTAATTAAATGAACAATTTTTTTAGTGTGAAAAATTGAGTCCCAGTGACTTAATAATATGGCGAACACAAAAGATACAAGACTGAATAATGAATAATTTTTTAACTATGTCAAAGGTGCTTTGTAAGCACAAGTTATATACATTTGATATATCATAACTTAAAAATAATCCATTATTGTTCCTTATAGTTATGACATCTTTTATTCACCATATTATAAGCCTACATTACATGTGAAAACTAATTCATTTTGCCGAGACTCAATTTTCCACATGATTAGTGAGTCGCTTTAACCAGCTTTAACACAAATTTAGTTTATTATTTACTACGTATTCATATGTATACATTGTTTATTTTGAAACTACCCACAGAAATGGATTGATTTACATTTTGACATACATAGAAGTTAAAAATAACAAAATATATGTAACTCAAAGAATTGGATTACCATTGCTCCTTGATAACTAATAATGCATGGTTTTCTAATAAATATAATATTACATTAATGTAAATATATTATTAAATTATTAAATTATTATATTATAATATTATATATTACTAGTATAAATATATTAATCTGAATACATTATATTAACATATAATAAATATATTAATGTAATTAAAATTTTATAAACTTATAACATAATGCATTACTATTAAAACGATCTAAAGATGAGACGAAAAAATTTAATAATATTGCTATTGTCACAATCTATGCAGAGAGAGGAACGAGGAAGCGAAAGCGATACGATTAAGTCGCGATGCGCCGCAATCGCATAACGGTTTTAACGATGTCTGTACGCTAAAATTCAATTGTCGGGCGGCCGAGATCTCTTCGCGGTAGGGCATGGATGAAAAAAAGTACTCGAGAAAACGGGAATGGATGCGAAAGCGAACCATTAAGTCGTGCATCGCGCTCGTACTCCGCCGAGTATCCACTTGCGCGTCGGATTATTTTTGCATTAATACCCGGCTGTTTTGTTACGCAAGCTCTTGTTAACGATCCCTCTCCGAGGACGCAGCCACCGGTGCATTCGGTGACATTTGAGAGGAAAAGTGGCCGAGCTTAGTTCTCCAAGCTCGTATTTATCACCGAGCAAAGCCTCGCGGCCCGTCGTAGGAGAATAAAACTTGCAACCACTGCGGTGGCGCACAACTAACGGTCCCGACAGCGAAAACGAGAAAAGAGAACGGAGGGTAAAAAGATATATAGAGAAAGAAAAAGAGTACGTTAAAGTCTCATAAGCTGGTCTCGCGAGCCATCTTCTTTTTGGACACTCTGGGACGCTTTATTTTCTCGGCAGGTGTATACGTCGTCGCGCGTTTATTATCGTTGCGGATTGAAATAACTGAGACGAAAATTGTTGCGAAGTAGAAAACGCAAGGGTATTAAACTCATTCCGAGGAAATCACCGTAACCGTTAATTTACACCAATGAATCACTGGTACCACCGGTTTAATGCATCGGATTATTGCATTTTATACTCACCGAGAAACGCTCATGTCCTTTACCTATGTGTTTTTACAGCGGAGTCCGCAAAGTCCGACATTATCGCGAAGCGGCAATAATAGCAAGCGGAGTAAATTATTCGTGATTTGCGAGCGCCGTAATGCGCGCGATTAACATTTTAATAGTGAGTTTTATTCGCGCGGTCGCGCCCGTATAGTGCATCGCGACCGCAGGACATTTATGCGAGTCGCCTGCGTGTGCGCGTAAATTCTAAACTCCCTTTTTTCTACGTGGTTTTCTTTTTTCAGTTATAACTATATCGTATCCCGAAGTATACCAGGAGAGACCGAGGTCGACCATAGGTGATGTCGAAACGTTGCATTTTAAAAAGGCAAAGCTCGTCAGAGGCCCTTGGCATTTGACGCACACTACATCTGTAAACCGCGTTGTTTTGTTAGTCACTGCTAAAAAAACGACTCGTTAGCGACGATTTAGTCGCCTTCCACGCGTCGAGAAAAAAAAAAAGAAAAAAAGAAGGAAAGAGAGAGAAGGAAATAAAAGAACGCTAACGAAATCAAGAAGGTCGACATTGAAGGAGCAGAAGTCTACGCGCCCCGGTTGAGACACGCTAGAATTTAATTTATGGGGTACACTCAAATATGTATATTTAGACAAAGCGATGGAAAATTTCATTAGCGAGAGTGCAAAAGAATAGAGTCTGGAAATTCTAAATTTTAACAGCGATGGAACCTTAACCTCGCGAAAGCATGCTCTAGACACTAGGAATAATCTTTAGTAAAAGTTTACGGTTGCATACACATTATACTTATAAAGACAGCTTCTGGAATTTTTCAGATGGGCCGAAACACGAGTGGATTTCGAATATTAAGCGATTTGGCTGCATGGAAAGTGTCGAGACATGCAAAAGAGTATGTGTGTGTATATATATACATATATACAATGTATATGCGTATATGTGTATGTGAGGTTTTCGTGGCTTGGATAATACGACAAACAATTTTTTGGCAGTACAGTTCTGGCAGTACACCACTTACAGGGATGGAGGCGGGCTTGTTGACCACGACGACGTCCTCGTCCATGTGTATCACCGTGATCGGCTCCGAGGTGACAGGCACCTCGTGTCTGCAACACACCAATCGCAACCAGCTTAACGTGGCTTTGTTCCGTTTGCGTTTACACATCTCGCACACGCGTACGTAGTGCACGTACGTAAACGTACACGTAACACACACGCACGCACACATACACACACACACATTTATACGTACACACATTCGTACGTAGACGCGATAGACGTATCAAAATGTCGGGTAGTTCTCGTACGAGTAGACAGTACCAAAGACATGAAACATGAACCGCATCCGTGTCTAAATAGTCCATATCTAGTATATCTAATACACTGAGAGAAATGTTTTGGAGAAACGTATAATCATTTATTTTGTTGATATGTGACTATAATAAGACTTTCTTACTTTTACATTAAAAAATTGTGTTGTTCTAATCAAAATTTGATTATTGTAACCAAATTTTGATTAGAACACCAAATTTGGTTAGAATAACAAAAATTGTATTGCTCTATAATCAATATTTTATTATTCTAGCCAAATTTTGATTAGAACAATACAATGTTTAAGTGAAAAAATAAGAAAGTTTTTGTTAGTCACAAAATAAATATACATACCAAACATTTGCATGTTGGTTCTCTCTTTTTAACAATGTTACATTATTGACATCACTAAGCGCTCAGTTGAGCAAGAAAAGAATTAATATTATAATATTCATATAAAATATGTAGAATAACTTATTTATTATAAATAATCTTTAAAAAATATTATATTTCTTATTTATATTTATTATTTTTCTAAGCTCATGAAAATGTGAACGATGTAAGCGTAATGTTATGTTGTTCACATAACCTTAGAGTAATAATAAATAGTAATGAGAAAGTAAAAAAATATAATATTGAAGATTATTTGTAATACATAAATTATTCTATATTATGAATATTATGATAAATAAATATTAATTCCTTTCTTGCTCTCTTGAGTATTCAGTGAGTAGTACTAAATGTAATTAATGTCTTTGGATAGTATACCCGTGGGAAGTACTGTCGACCGCTTTAGATTGTTAACCGGTAATCAAATTCGACTATCAATTTATAGATAATTATGATAATATCCAAGAGAAACAGTAATCGATCACTGATTGATAATCGCAAGCGACCAGTTTATCGCGATTTATTACTGGCAATCGGCAGTCAACGCCACGCCCGCACGCATGCTACGCTTTTTCGCGATTCTATTCACGTGCGAATTGATTGCATATATCGTCCGACCGCAAAAGGCGGAAAAATCGTGTTGCGCCGATTGCGTTGTGCGTTCCTATACGCACACACGCGCGTGTGCAAAAATACCCGCGCAAAGAAGCTAACAGCGTCGCGAAAATATTGTACAAAGCTGCGCTTTTATCTAACATTAAGGTAAACGCACGAAGGGCGTTCCGCGAAGTGAGACGAAGAAACAGAATGAAGGCGGGAGCGAGGAAGAAAAAGAAGAAAATATGGCAGGTGGGGATGCACGTGCATGCGGCGGCTCCAATTATGAGTTCCATCTACCTAATGCATTTCCACTCCGCAAAACTACGGTCGCACCCACTATGTGTCCTATGCACGTGCATTCTCTCTGCGCGAACAATAAGGAGTCTCGGTAAAGAGAAAAACAAATGCGATGGAAAAGGAGAGAGAGAGAGAGAGAGAGAGAGAGAGAGAGAGAGAGAGAGAGAGAGAAAAGATAGAAGAAAGGGAGAGAGAAAAGGAGAGCCTTCGGCGAATCGAGATTGGATTTGCAAAATCTTTTCCCGTCTTTGCAAAGTGCCTCGTTCACGATAAATGGCGTTTGCGATGAAGGCCGGATAGCTGCGAATATCGGATAAAACACGTGACCAACAGAATTCAATTCGGCGAGCAAGACGTTCGTAAACTTTATAAATTGCGACACCACCGCGGTGAAAATCCCGGAGGGCTAACGCGCACCTCTGGAAAACTAATCATCGCGAATCGATGCATCGTTAGGTCCATTCTCACGCGAATCGCACCAGAATAGATCCGGCGAAATCGTATAGACGATAGTGACGTACTAAGATCACGAAAGATGTTATTAAATCAAAAGTAGATCGAGGACAAATTTATATAATGGCATTTCATAGTTGAGCGAAAAGTTCATTCCTTGGAAACGTGAAATTGTACTTCTTCAGCGATTATTAATCTAATTATCCAGAGTTTAAATAATGGAACGCGATTATATATACTCGTTAACTTCTCTCATTATAACTCTTGTCATTATTGCGTGCATTATACATGTACAAAAAAAAAACTACGTGTGTTAGTCACGCACTATACTAATCTTTCAGCATTGCTCTATCGGTTACGCATTACGCACAAATATCTATTATTCCATTTTCCCTTTCAAGCGCTCACGGAAAGATCGATTTTCTGAAGTATTTAAAAATTTGGCTAAATATAGCTGAATAATTCAGTCAAATAATTCTAAAAAAAATTTAGCTAAACAATTCAGGAACTAATTTTATTGGATCATCAAAGCTATGTAGGGATACTTGAGTTGATTGTTACAAGGTCAAAGCAACATTTTTCATCATGCTCGCATTTCCTACAAAATGAATTAATTTACATTTTAACACATATAAAAGTTAAAAATAATAAAATATTATTTACTGAAGAAAGATTGGGTTACCATTATTCCTTTGACATTGATAAATCTACACTGTTAAATATATACACTGTCAAATTTATTGTAATTTAAGTCGTCACTGCTCCTACTCAATATATCGTTATTTTATACTAAAATAATGGTTAAATTTAACACTCTATAATGTCAATTTAACTCTATATGTCAAATTTTAAATTAGATTAAATTTGATACTAGATTGAACGCAGTGCATAGTGTTAAATTTAACTTAATTTGACTTACTCTCAATATAACGTTATTTCTTCATACCAAAATATATTGAGTAGAAGTAATGGCAATTTAAATTAGGGGTTATTAATTTAACATTAAATTTAACAGTCTAGGTATGAAAGGAGCAATGGTAACCCAATCCCTTGAATTAAATAACATTTTGTTATTTTCAATCTCTCTGTGTGTTAAAATGTAAATCAATCCATTTCTGTAGTTCATTTCAAAGTTAACATCGTTCACATTAACGCAAGATATTCGAATTAAATTTGAATGAGAAATTTAATACATTTTCTTGAGTTGAATTGTTTAATTCCAAGTCGAATGAACGATACATTATATGGGAGCAATAGCGAACTACAGAAACGATTAGAAGTAACTCAAATTGGGTACAATTTGACTGATTATGAATTTAACAGCGTACATGATTATTTTAATTGTTGAACAAAATTATTTTCAGATCTGTATCTAGCTAAATTTTTAGATACTTCAACAAAATATTCTTTCCGTGAAAGGTAGAAATCATTGAAAACCATCATGATAGATACACATATATACTTATCCTGAGGCACATAATTGAATGCCTTTTATAGTTTCATTCGACATATTCTTCCGTCCCGTGTCCTCGGGTTTTCTTAAGGGAAAATAATTCATGTTTTGCAGGAGAGCCGAAATATATATACTATGTGTACCGAAACCGAGAATAAGTAACTTCTATCTTCCAATTGGCTGACACGATATTATGCAACCTTTACAACGAAAGGCAATAAATCGCTTCCGTCTCGTAAATCACATTTCCGCTCCAACATTTCGGGTTCGCTACTCTCAAAGTATCTTCGTTGTGCATACACACAAACGCGCGCGCCGTAGTGCCTTCAAAGTTCACAACGGAATTTCGAAGCGTGTCACATGAAGGGAACATTACATCATATATACTCCGTTCCGTCGAGATGGCGTCGGATAACACACGCTCGCGAAGTGTAACGATTCTCTTGTCCTATCTTTAGTAACACTAGTAACTATTTCAGGTGCTCTGCCGCTTTCACATTCTACTATGTCGTTCGTTCCTCATTAATTTTCACAAACTCGAATTCTCTTCATTTGTCAAATTATATACCTAATCGAGATAACAATATGTATAGTATTACGGAAAGTAGAATCAACATAACAGTTGATGTAACGTAAATAAGGTACATAAATATTCCTCTCTTTCGTATTTTGAACTAAAGTCATTTTTTTATTTAAAATTCTATATTAATTAAAATTCTATCATCTTTCTGAAAACATTCTCAGATTAACTGTATCTATTAAAATGTCGCGTGCCACAGTTTTTCGCCTATCGGTCTCGCCGTCGCGCGTCGTTCCTCGCGTGACATTCGAAAGGTGCGACGACGCGACGTAACAATCAGTTTGCGTGCCGCTCGTCGGTAGAACGGCGACGTCCTGAGTGCACCTTCCAAATTTAACGCGGGTCACATGCCGCAGTGACACACGCACACACACACACACACACACACACACACGTCTCAGCGCGACCGCGAGTATACGCGAGCTGAGAACACCACTGGTACAGATAGCACCAAACGGTGATGCAAAGCGCGGCGATAAATTATTGCAGGTCCGAAGAGCGCGGGGGATTATTGTTCGTTAGTCGACAAGGGAAACGGCGGTGACGCGAAACGGCTTACCGAATTTATTTTCAGCCGTGGTCGGCCGCAATAAACAAAATTGCGAAAACGCGTGCAGTTCGGTCCGCATGTCCAAGGATGATCGACAACAAATAGCGATTTACGTCTCTTTGACATCGGCGCGTATTTTTTTTTTTTTGCGTTAAATAATCCTTTAATGGAAAAGTTAGGGTCGGATATGATCCACCACTTCGTCAGTAAAGAAATTGATTATTTTGTATCATTAGAGAGATCAAACGGATACTATTTTAGTTCTGTTCATGATTGTGTTTCAAGACTAAAAAGCATTTCAGCGCGCGATTTGCAGAACTGGATATATAAATCGGTATATAAATTCACTCTAATATTTAAACACTAAAATTTGATTAAAATAATAGGTTTATTTCTCTTAATTAATTTATTGAAAAAAGCAATGGTAACTGTTGAGTTAAATAATACTTTGATATTTTTAATTTCCATGTAA